TCATTACTTAGAAGATATGCCCATTATCTCCAAGTTAAGCAAACGTTGTTGCAAGTTATCTTAATTTATAGTTTTAACGGTGGTAGAGCCCCGCAGCAGTTTTTTGCTGTTGCACGTATGGGCAGGCTCGAGCCGGGTTGGTACCACGACCTCACAGAATACCGGCGTGAAGTAGAGGCTCTGCTTCTGCGTTTCGTCTGGTGAGTGCAGGTGGCCGGAGGCCCAATTCCCCCCCCCCCCCCACCCCCCCCATCAACATGGTAGCGGAATTACAAAGTAGACTACCCCAGGAGGGTACCAGTACCCCTGGAGAATCCCTCGCTGAGCATCCACGACCATGTTATTCCAATCCTGAGCGTGGGTGCTCAGGCTGCCCCGCGTATTCTGGGGGGGGCAAAATTCCGCTCAAAAACAAAACTGCTTGGGGCAAACTGAGCAACAATACCAAGGCGACCCCTGCCACGCTAACCGTGAATTTCTGCAACATCAGGGGACTTCACTCTAACCTAAACGCCGTCCACTACCATCTCGAGACGGCGAAGCCGGCCTTGCTCTTTCTGACCGAGACGCAGGTTTCCTCTCCGGCTGATATTTCGTATCTCTCCTGCCCGGGGTACAAATTGGAGCACTCCTTTGTGCCTCGGGCTGGAGTTTGCGTGTATGTCAGAGAGGACATCTGTTCTCGACGCCTCGGCAGTCTTGAAGGTTCGGACCTGTCCATCCTTTGGCTACGCGTAGACAGCGACGACCATCCGCGCGTCTACGGGTGCCTCTATAGGTCCCATAGCGGTAATGCCGAAACAGACCGACTCATCGACCACGTCCAAATGGCTACAGATTCCTTGCTACAACAGGTCCCATCCGCAGAGATCGTGATCCTTGGCGATTTTAACGCCCACCATGCCGAATGGCTCGGTTCACGTTTAACCGATCATGCGGGGAGATCTGTTTATGACTTTGCTTTGGCATATGGTCTGACACAACTGGTTACTTCGCCTACACGGATTCCAGATGTGGAGGATCATACACCTTCCCTGTTGGACCTTCTGCTGACCTCTCATCCGGACGGATATCAGGTTTCCGTCGATGCCCCTCTCGGCTCTTCGGACCATTGTCTGATCCGGAGTATGGTGCCACTCACGCTCCCTTCGCGGTTGCGTTCTGCAGGTTGCCGCCGTGTTTGGCATTACAGGTCGGCGGATTGGGACGGAATGCGGTCTTTCTTTGCATCCTACCCATGGGGGCGTGTTTGCTTCTCGCCGGATGATCCCAGCGCTGTTGCTGACTCTGTCACTGATGTGGTGCTACAGGGAATGGAACTATTTATTCCATCATCTGTGGTACCCATCGGAGGCAGATCTCAGCCTTGGTTTGGTCGCTCCTGTAAGACTGCATTGCGCAGAAAGCAGGAGTGTTATCAAGCCTGGGCTGCGGCTTCGGTGACTCGGGATGTAAACACCAGCACACTTAAAAAGAAGTATAACTTCGCCTCCAGGTCCTTCAAAAGAGTTATTGCCAAGGCAAAGTCTGAGCACATAGGCAGAATTGGCGAGAAACTAGTTCGCCTTCCTTCGGGAACCCGTGCATTCTGGTCTCTCGCCAAGGCTGTCCAAGGGAATTTCTGTAAGCCATCACTACCATCTCTGCACAGGGAGGACGACTCACTGGCCCACGACGCAAAAGAGAAGGCCGACCTTTTAGGCTCCCTTTTTGCGTCCAACTCGACTGTTGATGACGGGGGGAACACACCGCCGACCATCCCGCGGTGTGAGTGCTCTATGCCGGATGTGCTATTCTCACAGCGCTCGGTTCGCAGAGCACTCCTCTCCCTTGACATCCACAAGTCGAGTGGGCCTGACGGAATCCCCCCAATTGTGCTGAGGACGTGTGCTCCGGAGTTGGCACCGGTTCTAACGCGTCTTTTCCGGTACTCCTACTCCCAAGGCGTAGTCCCGAACTCATGGAAGACAGCTTTTGTCCACCCGATCCCTAAAAAAGGCGACCGCTCAGACCCGTCCAACTATAGGCCTATCGCGATCACCTCCTTGTTCTCCAAAATAATGGAATCCATTATTAACTGCCAGCTCATCCGGTACCTTGAGGATCACCAGCTGATCAGTGACCGCCAATACGGTTTTCGTCGGGGTCGATCAGCTGGTGATCTTCTAGTCTACCTGACCCATAGATGGGCGGAGGCAGTAGAGTCCAAGGGGGAGGCGTTGGCCGTTAGTCTGGACATTGCGAAGGCCTTCGATCGGGTTTGGCACAAAGCGCTTCTTTCGAAGCTCCCTTCCTATGGGCTTCCCGAGAAATTGTGCAATTGGATCACCAGCTTCCTTGCAGATCGGAGCATCAAGGTCGTTGTAGACGGTGCATGTTCTGACTACAAGCCTATTAACGCTGGTGTTCCACAAGGCTGTGTGCTATCACCAACGCTGTTTCTTCTGCATATCAATGATATGTTGCTAACTGGTAACATTCATTGCTATGCGGATGACAGCACTGGTGATGCTCTATACACCGGCCGGGCCAATATTTCTCGGGAAAACGTCGCCGAGTACCGGAACAAACTTGTGTCTGAAGTCGAGTCTTTGCTGGACAAAGTCTCGGATTGGGGGCGACTAAATCTAGTCCAGTTTAATCCTCAGAAGACACAAGTTTGCGCGTTTACCGCTAAAAAGAACCCCTTTGTCGTATCTCCTCAGTTTCAAGGCACTCCCCTTCTTGCCTCAGCCAGTATCGGTATCCTCGGAGTCGACATATCGAGTGACGTGCAGTTTCGTGGTCACTTGGAAGAGAAGGCCAAATTGGCCTCTAAAAAGCTTGGCGTGCTCAGCAGAGCGGGACAGTATTTCATGCCGGCACACCGCCTGCAACTTTACAAGGCGCAGGTTCGGCCTCACATGGAATACTGTTCCCATCTCTGGGCAGGGGCTCCCCAGTGCCAGCTCCTTCCACTTGACCGCATCCAGCGCAGAGCGGCTCGAATCGTCGACGACCGAGCCCTTTCCGATCGGCTCGATTCATTGGCACTGCGAAGAGATGTTGCATCTCTTTGCATTTTCTTTCGCATCTACCATGGGGAGTGCTCTGAGGAATTGTTCGGATTAATCCCAGCCGCCAAATTTCATGAACGCACATCGCGGCAGAACTCCCGATACCATCCACACCATCTGGATGATTGGCGGTCCACCACTGTGCGATTTAGAAGATGTTTTCTTCCTCGCACGACTTCCTTGTGGAATCGATTACCATCAGCGATTTTTCCGGACCGATACGACTTAGGGACCTTCAAGAAAAGAGCCTACTCCTTTTTAAAAGGCCGGCAACGCATCTGCAATTCCCCTGGTGTTGCGGTTGTTCATGGGCGGCGGTAGTCACTTACCATCAGGTGAGCCGCATGCTCGTTTGCCCCCTCTCCTATAAAAAAAAAAAAAAAAAAAAAAAAAACACATTAAACGAACCGTATTATTTAATCTCTATCATACCTTAACATGCAGGCAGCTCTCAAGGACCATACGATATACAGCGCCTCAAAAGCAGGGTTAGACGCCGTGACTCGTGCAATGGCGCTGGAGCTTGGGCCTCACGGTATCAGGGTGAATGCAGTCAACCCAACGGTCATCATGACCGCTATGGGACGTATTGGTTGGTCAGATCCCGACAAAGCTAACACAATGCTTTCGAAAATACCGCTTGGAAGGTGGGTATAGTGTCCTATATTTAATTTAGATGCAAAGATGTATAACCATTTAATTGACATTTGATTGATAAATCTCCTCTTTCTCTTTACGATATGGAGATAATTAGTCTTTAATTTACGTCAGCGAAATTTGAAGAATACAAGTAAGGCCATCAGTCCTTACTCAAATCAAACTTTCCAATGGACAAGAAGCATTATAAAAGCAAACAGTTAGCAAAAAGTGCGAAACGATAACCATTTATTTTTATTTCTGCTTATTAAATAATGAAAATAAACGTAATATTTAACTTTTTTAGGTTTGGAGAAGTGTCCGAAGTAGTAGATGCAGTGCTTTATCTATTGAGCGACAAGGCCAGCATGATTAACGGAGTTGAGCTCCCAATCGATGGAGGATTCCTCGCTACATAAACACCTCATTATAAAATCAGTCCAGGCAGTGAAACACTACGTGAAAAGAGTACCTCGGAATTTATTTTTAATCTAAAGCATTGCTTATGTTTTAGACTAGAAAAAGTAGCTACTACCTATTATTAGTTTTTATGTTTGTTAAATAAATTTATAACGTGTACGTATGCCTTTTATGGGGAAAGAAATGTCTACGCATATCCCCATATCACCCGCCTTAACATACTCAACGTAACTTAGATACCAATAAAAATTTAACCAATTACGGATTATTTATGGATTTTAAAACATCACACAATTTATATTATATACACAAGTTATATGTAAGGCAAAACAGAAAAGAAGAAAGAAAATAAGCACGACTATTACTGAGTTGCATTAGACCACGACTTTATCCTAAAATGACGGAACAGCTTAATGATAAAGTTAAAATAAATAAAGTTACAGACTATATACATCCCACATTGTGGCATCGGCCTATTCGTGAATCAACATTTAAAATTGCTATGAATAATAATTGGTGACGACGAGGATCCAATTACTTTATACACATTTGAAAATGTCCATGGTATAAATAAATCGTAAATGTTTAATAACTAACAGTACTGTTAGCAATAGACCTAACACTACTGCTAGGATAGGTAGAATAGATCAGTCAAGTCAATTTTTACAAAACATAATTCGCACTCCGAAAAGACTTTATTTCTATGTTGTTTTATTTATAACTAACAATCACAATTAGTAAAATGTAAAATTAGAAGACATTTCGATTGTTGTCGTTTTCGATTTCAACGAATTACAAAAAAGGTTACAATAAGAATGTTTTTATATTCTATATCTAGTCTACCGGATCTGGTATAGCAAATACATGAAACTCTAGGATTTCTTAGCATTAAGAACTCTCAACATTATCACTTGGCAATGGCAGATAATGAGCTGCATATCTAATTCCATGAGACAAGACTACTAGTAATAAAGCCGTAGGGTGAGTATGGCATTCTTCGTAAAGATATTCGCGCAACTGCTTGCGTAATTTCTTGGAAAAAGCATCGTTTTCACCGAAGCGTTTGATCAACACACGCGTAGTGTTGAAATCAAAGTTGCGTGTTTCTTTGATACATCCTTCCTCGTTAATCCAACTTAGAGCTTTGTTGAACCAGCGTCGACGTTGAAATTCCTCGTAGCCCAACATACCGCAAAGGGCAACTAAAAGAAAAATAGACTGATAATCGAAACACTATGTTAATTGTATAGTATGTTTGAAATTATTTCTTCTTATGTAACAACGGAAAAATATAAAACCGCAGAACGACAAAAACGCATTTTTTTCGTATACGAAAAATGTTAATTATAAAACAAAAAATCTAAATATTTTGCTGTTATTGTTTCGTATTCTGCCTATAAGTCCAGTTTGCGTTCTTGCCTACCTCTGGCAAGCAGAACCAACACTTTCTACCGTGTTCAGTTTCTACAGTTTCAAGGGTAAACCAGTATAATCACAGACTATAAGGCATTCTATCTTAGTCCTCAAGTGTGGCAACATACCTGTAGTCTTCTTTGTTTGACGTTAGTTGCACAAGGCCAAATGCATATTGGCTACTTACCGTCAATGTATATTCGTCGGTTTAATATTAAAAAAAATCAAGTTACAAAAACAATTGTGCACATAACAATCAGCTATTTCCGCTACCTCCACTGCAATATTCGGTGCATAATGTATTACATCCATCAATCTCAAGCTATAAAAGTCCACTGCTGAACATAGACCTCCGCCACACATTGCCTCATATCATAGTGGATATATTTGTGTAGTCGCCACGCTTGCCGGGCGTTATCTAGAAAATGGTGCTGCCTATTTTCTATTTCAGTTTCCCTCTGTAACCTGGTACGACACTCACTGAACGATATGGAGTAGTGGATCTTACAAGCTTACACGGTTAATGTATTAATTGTGTCTTAATGACGGCACTCACGACTTTTTCTACCACCAGGGTGGCGTCACTTGCACTTACAATGAGATAAAATATTTGACAGATTTCATAGCAGAGACGATAATTTCTTAGGAAAATGTTAAAATTAATGACTCTTTCCGTATTATTTGTTATATTTTATATTAATTAGACTAGAAATGAATAATCCAAACTATATAAATGTAACTAAAAGTAGAAAAATTAAAAAAAGTTATAAAGTGCGAAAAATTAAAAATATAACTACTGACGCATTGTGTTGTGTATTAATATGATACTCTAGAACTCTAGATAATGATAAACTATTGTTTAAAATTAATTTCTCAAATTAACTGACATTGTGTAACACCTGTACATCGGTCACGACTAGCGAACATCTGGTTAGTGGAAAATTATTAGTCCTCATTAATATATGTACCTCGATATGCTGAAAATAGTCCTTTCTCATCGCAGAAAGCATTTGGCATAATCACCCCGCTTGACAGACGGATTGCAAGATCAAATGTCTCGCATTTTTGACGCCGGTCCCCGTTGTTTTATTTTCCTGTAGTTCCCGTAGCATGTGTAAACATTTACGTATGTCATATTCGAATTTCTTTTTATCACATTCAAAGGTAATAAGAAATAACTTTTGTCCGAAAATACAAATTAGTTATTGACGCGTGGATATATTAAACAAGATAAAGTGTTACGGCCTGCGGCTGCTCCCTTAAAGGGTCAAATCCTCAGGGGCCCATGAGCTGAAGACTTCCCGAGCAGACGTAGGTCGGGCCTCAATGTGGCCACGTGGAATCTCTCTAATTACACTAAAATATATGGGGGAGCGTTCTATAATACGGCCAGTCGACCGGGAGGAATTTGGACGTAGCTTACTTACCTATATCCAAGGCGACTGGTCCCTCCGGAGTCGGTCAGGTCGCATGTGGTTGTGTAGTGCAAGGAAAATAAAGTGATGTGATATGTATCTGGGTGTGACTGATGGTGATTGAACCTAGACCTTGGCCGTCGGCAGCAGCCCGAGCGTCGACACCGCTCCAACTTGAGGGGGCCTTCCGAGGTTGTCCACAGTCACTTTCCTCTTTTATCATGATGACAGTCAATTAACTCTATCGTACGATTAACTAAATTACAGAAGCCACTAACTATCGCTGGGTATAAGGTTAACGCACAAAACGCACACGGAGTTTCTGGATCAAAGGTCACTACCGTTTCGCGTAGCAACAGTTCTAGAATATCAGAGGCCGCACTAGCTAATATTGCCGAATACACTTATGCAGATTCTGAGTCAGACACAATGAGTTCCTGGGAAGCTCCTCAGCAGGAATGCGCGTCACAATGGTAGACCGTATATTTACTGGCCGCGCCGAATTATTCCGAGTTCCCGACAAAATGACAGCGTGCCGTTCCAAGCACAGCTGACAGGCGACTGCCTGCCCTTGTGCGTTTTTCGCACGACCGAAAGTCAAACCGGTATGAATGCACCGCGCCGAGCGCCCTCTCGCGTCAATCCTTGAAACTAGCGCTTGGCGCGAACATAAAGGAAATATCTCTAATATCATCTAACTGTCCTCCGTCTCCTCCATGTATTTCATTGGGAATTGAAGGAATAAGGTATGCTTCTGTGAAATACATACAGTGCAGTGAACAATCTAGCAGGAAACCTAAAAGATATCAACATGATCGAAACCGACAATTAACTAAAACATCTTTATCATCTTAATATACCGCGTTAATAACAACTTGAAATTGGGTTGTTGGTGTTGTAGCATTTATTGTACTATATTTAGTAGTGCCTTAAAACTATATCGATTTTCTATTGTCACATAAATTCTATTCTTATTAATAATACTTACTACGAGTTATAAATCATTCACAATACATCATTTACCCAATTCGTTAATCAACCAATTTCTAAATTATTGATTCAGTCAACCTGAACTAAAATCGAGATAAAATAAAATATAAGTTTAAAATAGTTACTATGTTCCAAAAAGAGATCCCTGGCGAAGAAACCACGTCGTGCCAAGTATACGGCCTCACGGTACATGAAGGCGCACAGCAGGTCCATATGTGATACATCATGCTCCTCATTCTTCAAGAAGCAGCGTCGCAAGTGACGCCGCATCATTATGTTTAGAAGTCTGCAGCAATACCGTAATAGTAGTAATAAATTACGTGATTTCTTTGGCCATTCACATTTGGCTTTTACAAGCCCAAAACACAATCGCGCGGCCCTTGCATTTCTCTTTTTTTTTATAGAATAAGCGTGATAAACGAGCACACAGTCCACCTGATGGTAAGTGGTTGCTGTGGCCCATAGACATCTACATATATCTTCGTTTGCGAATGAAAATGCAGATACGTTGTCAGTCGTGAGGACTAAGATATAATGCCTCTTTTCCAGTAAAAAGGGTCTCCGGTTCTCTACACTCACTATACGAAACACAGCAGAATGAAGCTGCTATTTTACGCTGGTATTATGTGAGAGCATGGTCCTTCCCCGGTCGAGCCGACCCATTCGTGCTACAACTATACTATTAATATAGCTGCAGCATGGCTCTACCACGTAAACGGTATTCCTGTACCTTTACAAACTCGGTCGTCACTCTATCTAGTGAAGGGCAGCCTCCACTAGATGCAGTTACGATCGAGCCTTTAGGTGAACTGTATGCTTGTTTATGATCCATACTTCCAAAATACTCGAGTCTCATATTGGGTATAATAAGACGAATTATAGATAGCAAAAATCGGCTGGCATTTCTTATATTCTTTCAAGAGATTTCACTAATTCATTCGCACGTTAAATATACAAACCTATGGCTAAGTGCATATGAGACCGAAGGGTAGGAGTGCAGACGGCTGTAACAAAATTTGTCGGGTCGACACAATTGCAGCTTGGAAAGATCTATAGGTTCTGATTCATACGCAATCCGCGATGCACATATATCTGCAAACAATCGAAACAAAACTTATAAAAGTATGTACTATAAAATAGATCATGGTAGCTAACTAGAAATATACAAACTACGAATGCCGTTTTACTACTAGTCTCGTTCAAAGAAATTGGTTACAGTTGATTTCAGTGCCAAAGTTTTGAAATAACTTTGATAAAAAATTATTCATTCCTTTTCAACCAAAAATTTACAAAAGACGATACTTGAATAATCCATGCATGATTTAAAAAAAAATTGTATAATAATTAAATAATTTAAGAAGAAATTGCGATTCGAGAACTATTCTTATCTAAGAAGCCTGTACTTTATAAAGCAATTCAGTCTTAAAATCTTAAATCGTACAAAATGTAAATTGATTTAGCTATTATAGTTATTTATGGGCTCATTTTGCTATTCATAGAATACAATACAACATAAAATAAATGTAGTAAATTTATTTACATTTACATTCAGTCAGGTTATAATTTATTTCATAGATAACTTTTTTACGAGTACGTAAGAGAGCCACGTTGCAGCTATATTATTGTGGTTGTAGCTCAAGTGGTTTGGCCTGACCGGAAAATAACTATACGCTCTCACATAATGACACCGTAAAATAGCGGCTTAATGTTGCTGTTATACTGTGTTTGGTATAGTGAACTGGAAACTCTTTTTACTGGAAACAAGACATCCCATTTTAATCTTTAGGAATATCACCACTGCTGCATTTTGAAGCTTAATCGGGGACAAATGTATATGCCTATGGGCCACAGCATCCACTAACCATCAAGTGGACAGTGTGGTCGTTTGTCATCCTTATGCTATTAATAAACTTTTATCTGAAGTTTGAAAACAAAGAAGGCTAAGATGTGTTGCTACGATGGAAATGGAATGCTTCACAGCCTGTTACTATACTAGCTATATCTTTACCCTTTAGACCGAAACACAAGGAGTCTGGATAAGTAGGCAGTGCATACCTACCCAGACAGACTCCTAAACAGAAGGAAGAAGTGTCCCAACACCTAGTGACCCTAACCTGTGGTGTAAAGAAGGTGTATAATATAAGCTAGAATAAATAGGAATAATATGGTCTAAATCACTACACTCACCACATGTTGCAACATGAAATATAATATTCGAAAATTGAAATGTTATTATTATTTCATAAATCATCATAGAGCGGAGCTTGTAGATGAGTTCATTTGGGGAAAAATTTAATCCCTTCTTACACCACAGGGTGGGGTAAAAAATCCTCGACGTTTATCCTGCTATTAATTCTATTTCGTGCTTATTTAATGCTGGAGGGGTGTCTACTAAATGTTTCTTCGTTGGGTCACTACTTGAATAGCATCTAATTAGGGTTATAGAAATTTGGAGTCAGCAAATCAGCATCGTCATATACCGAGTAATAATGGTACCGTCTCACAATATCTGACTTAGCATTGCATTTCTCGAAACTGACACAGCGTGATTTGCATTTTGTCAGTATTTATCTTCATAAAACTTAATTCGACACCACACACGTTCAATCACCCTCGTAAATATTATTTTTATAGGATAAGGGTGACAAACGAGCACAAGGTCCATCTGATGGTAACTGGTTGCTGCGGCCCATAGTCATCTACTTATATCTTCGATTAAAAATCAAAATGCAGATGCGTTGTCACCCGTGAGGACTAAGGTGGAATGCCTCATTTCCAGTAAAAAGGGTCTCCGGTTCTCTACACTCACCATACGAAACACATTTAAGCTGTTAAGCTTAACACGTTAAGCTGCTATTTTACGCTGGAATTCTGTGAGAACGTGGTCCTTCCCCGGTCGAGCCGACCCATTCGTGCTACAACTATACTACTAATATAGCTGCAGCATGGCTCTACCACGTAAAAAATTACCTGAGTCCAACGAACTAATGTAGTAATTGTCCATTTCCACAGTTAACTCGATATACTTCATTTTTGTCAGAGAAACGTTATCCATTTCTTCTACGTAATCATTCATTGCAATATTACTAAAGAGCCATCGCTTCAGTCGCCCCTTGTTGAAGGCACCGATAGAAAATACTTGAGCGCTGTCGTCCTTAAAAGTTCTAGACACTAAAGAAAGGTGTCTGTTAGTTACTATAATATAAATACGCTATTATTATAATATAAATGGGCTATTATTGTAATATAAATGAGCTATTAATACAATATAAATGGGCTATTATTATTATAATATAAATGAGCGTCTAGTGGTCATAAACTGGTTGTCGTGAGGTCCTGAGTTCCAATCCTGCTTCCAAAAAAGAGAATTATTGAGTCACAAACTTGGTAATGTTTCTTCACCCCCATGCTTCGGAAAGCACTAAAAGCCGTTGGTCCTGCGCCTGATCTCTCACCAGTCGTGTCGGATTGCCGTCCCATCTGCGCATAGCTATTCTTACTCTCCGAATTCGGTCTGGAGATCATTAATATAAATTGATGGTTGACACCATCGTTAATAATATACTACGTGTTACCAGCCATGTCAACTTCTCATATAAAAGATTGTCTATAGACATTAGACACAGTAGCTCCAAGCATTTCGCCGCAAATGTTAAAAAAAAAACAAGAATTAATTATTATTCCAGGTTATTCTCAAATATCCTTCTGGAGCTGTAGTAGAAAAAATCAATTCTATAGCGTTTATTCGAAACATCTACACATAATATTATAAATTAAAGTCCCCTGCCGCGTATGTATGTATGCAAAGGTTAGCTAACAAAGAATGCCTTTTCGGCATTAAGTTCGCCTTGGAACTACAATTTTTGTTTGAGTGCAATAAAGAATTATCTATCTATGTTCCCGCTAATCTCAAAAACTAATGTAGGGATTTTCATTCGGTTTTCACCAATAGATAGAGTGAATTATGTGAAAGGTCAAATTAGCTAATGTTATGATTATGACGATGTTTGTCGCTTAAGTCTGAAAAAGTCGTGCCTCCTGAGAGCTTTCATGACATAAATCGATAAAGTATTATAAAAATAATGTATGATATAATTGTTTTCCTTGTAGAGTTCTAAAGAAAAATATGCGATTCTTTTCATCCTATTACAAAACTTTTTATTGATACTCTCGGGCCTAAACCTTTCGACAAGTCTTTTTCACAAACAAAGACTACGGCACCAAATTTTAAGGTTAGTAAAAATTATTTTGCCTACCTCCACTCAAGGAAATAAAATGATTTGTCTTAGCTAGTTTGAAGAGCACCTCCCGCCCTCCCTCAATTGCGTGCACTATCCCCGTCACCACTAATCCCAGTGCCACTACTCCCAACAGCACTACACTAGCAAAGACACACCACGGACGACAATACGACACGTGTTTGCCTCCACACGAGGCATCCTCAGGTGAAGTAAACTCTGCGGTGGCTGACCGCAACAAGTTTCGTTAAATCTGACATATTTTAGGTCGTATAATTTCCACGGGTCTTCTTTCTTCAAAATTGACTCTAGTTTAAACTTGAGACTTATAAACCACTGTTTGTAAGTACATAAATTGAATCAGTCTGATTTGACTCTATAGAAAATTCAGTACCTAACAGGTAACAGGTGATACTACTGCGTGATCAGTATAGATATATGCAGAGTTACATGATCACTGATCATGTAACTATGCATATATTCATACTTTATCGAAGGCCACGACGCCCGTTCTTATCATTAGGTGGACCTTATGTTCTTTTGCCGCGTGTACTTAGTCATAATACACCTTAATTCAGAAACGACGTTTATAGATTTTACTTTTGCATCAAAATTCAAATAGTTATACTCTTTATGATTGTTATACGAAGATATAAGACCACACCTCTAAATTCCATGTCTTCCCAACCGTAAGGATAATTCTTGTAAACAAAATGGGATAAAATATTTTCACATTTATTTATAATATCTACAATTCTTTCACGTTCTTGTTGTATTAACTTAATCCCATAATCCTGCAGTGTTCTTTTTAGAAGAGCTACAAAAATAAAAATAAAATATTGCTTTACATTTTTAGGGGTAATATATAATTTGCAACTTTATTCAAATTATATCTCTTGAAAGACCACGCCGCCGATAGTTTAGCTTATAAGTCATTAAACGAAATCGCTGTTTATGATATTCGTGAGATTCATAATTGTCATCATCATTACGGCCATTCACAAGTCCACTGCTGAACATAGGCCTTCCCCAAGGAATGCCATAAAGGTCCTGAGCCACCTACATCCATCGACTTCCTGCATGTCTATGGTTGCAACACGAATGGCTCAACTCGACCGGTGAACGATCACGCTCCCACACAATACCAGTATAAAGTACCAGCTTAATGCAGTTGTGTTTCATATTGTGTGTAGAGAACCGGAGAGCCTTTATTTGGTAACCATGCATCAGAGAGACTCAACTACATTTTGATCCTTAATCGAGAATAGATGTAAGTGAAAATGGGCCACAAAATCCACTTACTATCAGCTGTACTGTGTGCTCGTTTGTTAATTTTATTCTATAAAAAATAAGTCAAGAATGGTTTAAAGGAAATAAAAGTAAAGCGATAAAGGAAAGTGAGGGATAGATAACGTTATTCTTTCTTGTATAATGCCACATGATAAATATCCAAGCCGGCGACAAGAAACAATCGCCAATCTGTATTAGGTGAGCCCGAGACGGTAATGCGGCATTGTACGTTGTAGAGCCCTGCTGCAGATATATTATTATATTATTTTTAATAAATATTAAATTAGTTAGTATGTAGCACGAATGGGTCGGCTCGACTGGAGAAAGGCCATGCTCTCACAGAATACCAGCGTAAAATAACAGCTCAATACCGCTGTATATGTTTCGTATAGTGAGTGTAGAGCACAGGAGACTCTTTTTACTGAAACAGGGCATTCCATCGTAGTCCTCAGGGGTGGCAACGAATCTGAATTTTGACTCTTAATAGAGGATAGATGTAGATGTCTATGGGCCACAACATCCATGTACCATCAGATGGACTGTGTGCTCGTTTGTCACCCTTATTACATAAAAAAATGCACGGTTTATTTCCTGTCTCGAATATAATATATTATGATCATTTATCTAATTGTATAAATTGACGCGACAATTGGTCCTAAACTTTTAAGTCCTTCCAAAAATTGCAAAGTTGCCAGGTTACATACAGTTAAATTCAATCATAGGTACATTATGATTCCGATAACAGATGTCCATAAAGATTACGATGACAAACATTATTCTTACCTTTAGTATAAAATGAACCTAAAGCTATATTACAATCTGTTTTATTTGGAGTTTTATTAAAATAGTACACTACACGTCTTAAACCTTTTACATATTGTTTTAAATCAGCAATGTCCGGTACAGTTTCTTCTGGCCCCAAATACTGGATTGGAAATTGGTCTCCGTAATATTGGTTTATTGGATGCGATATACTGCCTTCCAATTCCTTTTCTTCCATATCACATGTAACATTTCCAAGGAATGTAAATAAAAATAATCTTACAATAAACATTTCGTTTCCACAATTCATCCAATTCGCTTGAGAAAAGCCACCGCGGAGAATGCTAAATGCATTCACGTATGATCAAACGCATGGCAATTAGATTTGCTAAAATGGGAATGTCGTTGTCGTCGTATTTCACACTTATGGTAAAAGCACAGTTACGATTTTATCAATTAAAGTAATACATGTTCCTAGCGCAAGATTTAAAAGTTGCGTGTACCCTTAAGACTGTAAAATTTACACATTTAAACATGAAATATGCACATATTCTATCATGTTCATAATTTTTATAATTTTCTAAATCTAAATAAATAAACGTATTTTGTGTAAGTTTCAATGGTATGTTAATTAATTTTAGCATACACAAACGTCTATTACAATGATATATACTATTTCATGTATTGTAAATTATTTATGCCTTAGAACAGTAAACATATTATAATAATAGCGACCCGCCCAGCTTCGTTTTCTGCCGACTTCCAAAAAAGAGACGGTACTCAATTCGACTGTTGATTTTGTTTTTTTTTTTTATGTGTGTTACCTCATAACTTTTTACTGGGATAACCGATTTCGATGATTCTTTTTTTATTTGAAAGCTGGTCAGAGATCAAGGTCGGACCAATAGTTTTTGAGTTATTTTTAATAACTTATATTGAAGTCGGCTGTACAAAATTTTTATTTAATTTTAAATTATTATTTAAATAATCATCAAAGACCATTTATTTTATAAAGTTTTTAAATTCACGAAAAGAATCTCCAAGTTTATCAGATAAAAATAAATAGCTATAATCACTCCTGACATTGCTCTCTATCTGTGAAGTTTCATCACAATCTGCCACCTTCAGCCTCAAATTCAGCATCAGCATCAGAATTCCGTAGATTAGCCCAGACAGACAGACAAAAATTCTTATTCTTAATAGTAAACTATTAACTAATCTGTGATGCGGGTATCACAGACGTGGACCGCGAGAATCGGTAATCTTGTGAAGACCTATGTATATCCAGCAGTGTAAGAAGGCGTGCTAATAATGAAATGTCTTTTAGTCACTTGAACGTTACATTGAATTCAAGAAGGTAAAAATTTCTTTCATTTCACTGTTACATTACGTACACTACGTATTTGACGGTGTATACATAACCTTAAATCACCGCAACATGACGAAACATGGATATTAAATATGACCTCTAAAATACTTTTAACTATATTCCTACATCCGAATTTCTACATATCTGTACTTTATGAGATCTATAGACCATAGAGTCTAATTTTCACTTAGGAAAGAATGTATACCTACGTAAATGTATGTGATGCACATTAGTACGATTCGTACCTACTCGCATGTGTCGAAAAAAAATCTTCGCCTCCAAATTAATTTCGTTTATTTTAAGTCATTGTTTTTATTTTAAACCAAAGGATAAAGTAACTTCTGACATATAATGCACTGCGTATCGAATCCCGTGCGCCATTACAATCATCACGAGGGCCATAGGGTGATCGTGACACTCTCTGAGCAATTTATTCCTTAACTTCCTTCTTAATTTCTTCCCCATCACCTCGTCCCCTGCGTTTCTCTTGATCAGTAAACTGGTCGCATTATATTCACAATTTGGATTCTCCTGGATACAACCCTCGTCATCCATCCAACTTAAGATTTTGTTGAACCAGTTCCTACGGTGGAATTCCTCGTAGCCCCGCATCGCGCATAACGCGACTGGAAAAGACAACATATTTAGTAGAAATATTGAAAGCAATACATGAAATATTTATTTTAATTTTCTCATAGAGAATCAAGACAGATACCAATATGACGGCTTAAAGCCGACTCAGAAAGTTAATGTATGGTAGGGTTGCCACCTTTTTCTTAAACAAATAGAGTATTTTCCCAAAAAAGATGCAAAAATATAGTACTTTTGGGAAATTCAGGAGAAAAGTACACATTTAATTTTAATCTTTATATATAGTTCCATGTTTATTTATTATTGTTCTATCACCTTTAAAATATTTATAGGAATCTGAATAATTTATATTCATACTGTTGTTCTGCCCTTTCCGACGACCCTTCCTATGAAAAAATCATTAAGTTCGCAATAAAAAAATATTGAAGGTCGGGTTAAAAAGTATCCTGCAGTTGCAGTTCTGGATTGGTCCAACTTGAGAGAACTGCAACTGCACACAGTGAGAAAAATTTCATTGAAATCAGTTCAATAGTTTAGGAGTTCATCGCGGGCAAACAATGTGACACGTAATTTTTATATATAAGGATTAATATAAACTAACAATTAATTTTTAATTAAATTTATACATGCTCGAAGAAGAAAGAAATATCTTCTTCCCATTTTACATTCATGACGGATTTTTTCCGTAAAACTTACTTGTTTCAGACTTCCAGTCACTATAATAAAAATATAATATTTTTCGTACTATATTATATTTCTATAATATATATAGTACAACTGACTGAAATATAGTCCGATACTATATATTATAGTACGGGTGGCAACCCTACTATATGGATAGTGCAATATATCTGATGTATGATGGTGACCTACAATCACCACACTGTCAGCTGTTGGGGCTGTTTTTCTGCATCGAGCTCCTACCACTACTACTACTATCTACCAGCAGCTACCACCCTCCTACCTATTTCCGCTGCCAACCAACAGTGTAACTAATACTTTGTTCTGTTCTAGGGGTAAGAGAGTCAGTATAATCATAGGCGGTGAGTCATTCACTTTTTCTTAAGACAGTGCCTGACTCCTAATCTCAACTACTAAGTGGTGATGGCAAAGCACACTGACAGCTTAACAAAAGTCTATTCAATCTTGTCTTGAAGACACTACCACAGAGGGCCGTGGTAGCTCAGGGGCTATTCGCTCGCTGTAAATTTCACAGTACGCGAGCAACCTGGGTTCGATCCCCGCCGGCACCAATGAAATTGTTTATTGCCAATTTAAGTGCTAATTTACTACGTGCTCGGTGGTGAAGGAAAACATCGTGAGGAAACCTGCATGTCTGAGAAATAAGAAAAAAAATCGAAGGCATGTGAAATTTGCCAAAACTTTGGGCAGCGTGGCGGACGTTTCCTTGCCCTAAAACCCTCTCAGAAATGAGAGAAGGCCTGTGCCCAGCAATGGGACGTATATATAGGCTGCAACTTTAACTTTTTAACCTTTGAAGACACTTCCTGCGTTACTGGATGGAAATACAGCTACTAGTAAATAATCTGTAGCCTTTTTGTTTGAAGTTGACTGCTACCTTACGTACAAATACAAAGATATTTTCTCATTGTCACATACAGGAACAATGTCGCACTTAGATTCTATCTACACACTCAATATGTAAATATAATCTAACTAAAAAAAAATCTAACGGACTAGAAACAGACCTGGGACCTCATTAATATGTTTTATAAATATGGTAGGAGGAAAGGCCTCAGGTTCGAATCCCGCACGGAACGAGTATTTGTATGGCCTACAAATAATTATTCGGAGTGTAGATATTTGTCCTTGTGCCCATGACACAGGTGAAAATCCTAGTGTGGAGGTAACATTTAGAAGGAAAGTGAGTGAAGAGAACCGAAAAATCCTTTTTCTGGTAACTAGGTATTCCTTCATAATTCTCAAGGATGACACATGATCTACGTTTTGATTCTTAATAGAGAATAGATACGAGCTATACGATTATGAGCCACAACATTTGCTTACCATTACATAATTTTATCGTCATGTACATGGTAGAGCCACGCCTCGAACGGGGAAGGACCACACTCTCACAGAATACCAGCGTAAAATAGCAGACTAATACTGCTGTGTTTCGTATGGTGAGTGTAGAGGACCGGAGACCCTTTTTACTGGACAAGAGGCATTCCTTCTTAGTCCTCACGGCTGACAACACATCTGCTTTTTGATTCGCAAATGAGCATAGATATAGATGTATATAGGCCACAGCAACCACTTACCATCAGGTGGACTGTGTGCTCGTTTGTCACCCTATCCTATAAAAAAAGTAAAACTGTATGCGATCGTTCGATACCCTTAGTTTAGTTTAGTTTAGTTTACGACGGGCTGTTTACCGCAACTCCACGTCTATACGCGTATTTTGCGTATGGGCATAATGTTATTATTCGAGCCATAAGATCTCCCCGAAGAAGCTCAACAGTCCTTTGATGTTGCATGCAACTTCGGGGAGTGATCTCGGCGTACCGAGATGTTTAGCCCTGTACGTAGCGACCTTCGGACATTTCAGTAGCACGTGGGCCGCTGTTTCTTCCTCCCCCATACATGCCCTGCACAGGGGACTATCTATAACACCTATAGTAAATAAATGTGTGTTAAAGGTACCGTGTCCTTTGATAGCACTTGTTACTATCCTGATCTGCGGCTTGTTCAGTCTCATTATAACTTTGGATAAGCGACTGTTTATTTCAGGCAGGGCCTCTCTAGCTTGTCTGCAGTCTACTAGATTTTTCCAAAGCTGAGCGTGTTGATTAGTGAAGTGTCGTACCAGTGAACGTACGTTACCAAAGAGGATTGCTATGATTGGTTCCGGCCCTATAGTGGCCAGAGCCGATCCTCTTCTGGCCAGTTCGTCTACTGCATCGTTGCCTCTGGATCCACTGTGTCCCTTTATCCATTGCAGAGTCACATTGTTGTTTTTACATACCTCATTTAATCGTTGATGGCATTCATATATTAGTCCTGAGTTCACCACATTGTAACTCAGAGTTTGTAGTACTGCCCTACTGTCGGTCAGTATTCTGATGGGGAAGTCATTAACCTTCCTAGCATCTATTGCTATGGCCCCTTGAATTATATCCAAACATTCCGCCTGAAAGACTGTGTTATAGGTACCCAGCGGTGTGCATGTTCGATACCCTTACTTCTATTAAAAAAATCAAGTACTCAATTTAAAAAAAAACATACTATGTTCTAAGAACATATCCCTGATGAAAAATCCGCGTCGCGCCAAGTATACCGTCTCCCGATACATGAAGGCGCACAGCAGATCAATATGCGTTGAGTCTTCTTCCACACTCTTCAAATAACAGCGACGCATCTGATGCCGAATTAAAATGTTCAAGAGTCTACAACACGAAGACAATAATTAATGAAGTAATAAAATCTATTGTATTTAGGCGTTAGATTTGAAGAATAATAATATTACATCTTATAATATCAATAGTACATTAACTTTATATATTACAAATAATAATATCTATAGCACATATAATATTAATAGTACATGTCGTGTACGCCAATTTATTTATTTGTCATGGAGACTAACTCTGTTTCTTAACTTGATTAAAGTGAAAGTGTATTTCAGGAATGTATGTTGTTAATGAATGTTGTAGTAATCAAAATTTCTGACGTTAGCGTTTATTTTTTTCCTTGAAAGAAACCTAAGTATAGCAGTGGAATTGTGAAGGACTGAAATGATGATGATGATCATTATGATGTGATATAACTCCTGTAAATTCTAATAGGTCTTTACCTGAGTGAACAGGCCTTTGTTAAGTCAGTGCGCTTCACCATCTTAGGCTACATCACCACTTAACATCGGGTGGGATTCTAGTTAAGCGCTGGCTTAGTTTAATAGAGAACAAAAACCTATAAAATTGCCGTTCTGCAGTCCTAGCCATTTTAAATCAAAATAATTTTTGCTTGGCTAAGAATTCTAATTTCATTTGTTTATTTATTAGCGTTATGTTTTCATCGCATTTAGCGAATACTACAAACGAACGCACCACCTGTTATTGGTTTGCCCGCTTTCATTCTGGAAATTTCGACCTGAAAAATGATCGCCGCGGTCATCCGAAAACTGGTCGACAATGACGAATTAAAGGCGATTGTGGAAGCTGGTGATACTCAATCTACGACTGAATTAGCAGCAGCTTTTGACGTTAGCATCAAGATTATATTGATTAATTTGGTCCAATTGGCAAGGTAAAAAGCTCAATAAAAAAATTCAATACCCGAGAAGTTGCACAAAATGCCTTTGAAGAATATGTTGCCCCCGTTCAGCTGATCTCTTCAAGAAGGGCATCAATAAACTGCCACTGCATGAGCAAAGATGACTCGATTGCAGGGGTGATTACGTTGATTAATAGAAATAAAAATATAGGAAAAAAAAATACGTTAACTTACTTCATAATAAAACGGCAATTTCATAGGTAAAGACTCGATCAATCTAGCAGATCATAGACATCTGGAACTAACATCAAACAGGCTCAGTGCTCACGATCATCAACGCCTTTTGGGTTATCATAACATTTGTTCTCTATTTTTTTTTGTATTAATCTTAGCTAATTATTTTTTAATATTTTGATACAAATAGAAAATCAAAAGGTACTACATCCATCAGAAGTTAAAAGAAACTTACCTATGACTGAGCGCGTATGCGATTGATGGCGAGGAGTGCAGAAGTTCGAAACAATACTGATTCGGTCGACACAACTGCAATGTAGACAAATGTATAGGCTCCGGATTGTATGTGACGCTGGATATGCAAAAATCTGTAGACATAAAAAAACTAATAAAAGTGTATGTGTTGGAGGTAAAAGTAGAAGATAAATAGAAGTGAGGGTAGAACTCGAAACCCCCACATGGTGGAACGTTATAAAGGATTTAGGTACATAAGGCGCGAAAAGAAGCTAAGAAAAGTATTCTGCGATTAAGCCGACCTACATTAGCTAGCTACATCTTTTATATATAATAAGGATGACAAACAAGCACATAGTCCATCTGATGGTAAGTGGATGCTGTGGCCCATAAATATCTACAGCTATTTTCGATTAAGAATCAAAATTTAAATGGGTTGTCACCCCTGAGGAATAAGATGAAATCCCTCGCTTCCATTGAAAAGGGTCTCCCGTTTTCTACACTCACCATACGAAACTAACATTATTAAATAAATTACAGAGAAATAAATTATCATTATTACTGACCAGTATCTAATGCTAAAAACTTTTTTTCGAAAAACTTTCGGCGGAGCCTGTTTTGTATTTTTTACTCCGCTACCGCCACTGTATAATGCGGTACCATCGACAAATAAAGCTGTACGATGTTTTAGTACTGAACAAGAACGCAATTTGAACATCCACTATCACGCTGTTATTATTTTTACCGTCTTGTATTTCAGTATACATATGTGATAAACAAAAAGATGAAAAAATTTAGAACTATGCAGTGCATAGAAAACCCAAGCAAACGAGCCTAATGGTCAGAAAATAATTACTATTTTTTGTTTGCATAATAAACTGTATATTTAGTGATAAAGCAAATAAACGAAAAAGATTAAACAAATTCGTGGCGTGTAAATATTAAAAAAATAAACTTGTTTTTTTTTTTTTAATATAACGTATGTGGTATGTGTAGTATGTACTAGTACTAAAAGAAATTCAACCATAGTATATTGGTAGGGGAGGCAGGGGGAATATCATACACTTAAGAGAAAAACGCTTAATTTTTTTAATTGATTTATTTTAAAAATACTAAAAAATAACAAAGGTATATAAGGTTTGCACACATTTATCTTTAACATATAATCAGTAATAAACCTTACAAAAAAAAAACAAATTTGAGCGCTTTTGCTCCTGAAAATGGGTAGGTAATATGGCTCAGAGTAGTGACGCTCATACCTATTTATTTGAATATAACAAGTGAAATAAATTATCAATTATCAAATACATGAGAGATTCACCATAAACAATTGTAGTATAGACCAACCAATACGTAATCCAAGGCCAACGCAAAGCAAAAAGAAAAGACCAACCAATACTAATCGTAAATAAACATGATTTTTCCTTATTATAATTAACAACCATGACTTATCATCATACGTTAATATAAGGCAATTAAATCATTGTATGTGTATATCCTTATGGAGAATCGCATCTAGAGTACATAACATGGGACCATAGTCTGCTTGTGGTACAGCGTTATCACATTTCATTATTTCGTGAAATATAAAGTGAAGTTTTTCGCAAAGACTGCATTTGTCATCGTCCACGTCAATTTCATTATCACTGTCATCGTTGCAAAGATTTTAATTTTCTTTACCTTCAGTCTCTATTTCTTTCTTAAGTTTGCTTGATATAGATATCTGTTGAAAATATATAAAATATCATTAGGGGTGATATAACATACTCTACATTAATAATCCTAGTGTTCTTGTGTATCAGAGTTGAAAATTATACAGATACAATTGTTAAAGAGTTTATGTTATCGCTAAATATGTTTTAGTGCCTATAATAATAATAATAATAATAACTTAACGACAAAACATTCAGGAAAAATAGAGATTATAAAAGCTTTTACACAAATTTACTTCGCAAATATCCGCGTTATAAAATAAAATGATGTGTCTTACCTAGTATGAAGTAGCACCTCCCGCCCTCCCTCAATTGCGTGCACTATCCCCGTCACCACTAATCCCAGCACCGCTACTTCCAACACCACTACACTAGGCAAGACACACCACTGACGATAATATGACACGTGTTTCGCCTCTACACGAGACATCCTCAGGTGATATAGACTCTACGGTGGCTAACCGCTAAGTGAGCGGCGAGCCAAAACAAGTGCCTTTTATACAAACCGATGATGCAACCGCTCTCTACCTAAGGAGCGAGCGACTGCGTCATGCGATAAAACATGCGACCAATCACCGCTGGACTTACGCCGCCGTTTGTAAAATTAAAAACAAACCGCCGCGCAACGCCCACATTATTAGAGAGCACGCTTGAAGATATTTAAGAGAGGTGAGTTAGTAACATTTGTTTGTTCATTCAGCAATGCAACGGTATTATTATTACTTTTTAATATCTCTAACTGTTCCAGCACACACAGCCGCAGCCCTTTATTACACGTATGTAAGACTTTAAAGGAGTGGTCGTTGGCTAGGTTGTGTCCAGTGTCCAAAAGATGTTTGGCAAAATGGGATTTATCGGGATTGCAATTCCTGTACGCGGCTAAATGCTCTTTATAACGTGTCTCGAAATTGCGACCAGTCTGACCCACGTAAACGGCGTGGCATTCGTCACAAACAAGTTTGTAAACACCTGACTTTTGACGAATATCCAACTTATCTTTACTATTACAGATATTTCTAAGAGAATTGTTTGTTTTGAACGCCACATGAACGCCGTTTTGTCGAAGAGTATTAGCTACTTTTTCAGATATGGGGCCTAAGTAGGTCAAACTGCTCACATATCGATGAACACTTTGAGGTTGAACCGCGTACAGAGAGTTGCGAATAACATGCTTTTGTTTCTTTTTAATTAAATTACTAATGAGATTTTTTGAAAAACCGTTAGAGACCGCTATTTGATAAATTATATTAAGTTCTTTTAAATAACTTTCTTTACTTAATGGGACAGTGAACAAACGGTTAATGTAACAATAAAAAGCGGCTACTTTATGTTGCCATGGATGACATGATGACGCGGGGATGACCGTGTCGGTGTGAGTTGGCTTTCGATAAATTTGGAAAACATGTGACGATTCTTTTCTTGTTATTGTTAAGTCACGAAAATTAAGGGAACAATCTTGTTCCAATTCAAGTTTAAATTTAATTTTGTCATGGACTCTATTTATTTTATTGAGGAAAACATCCAGTTGTCTCCTTGTGCCAGTCCAGCAAATAATTATGTCGTCTACATATCGATAGTAATATAAGATATTTTGATTGACAACTATATGTTGTTTTTCGAAATTATCCATGAAAATGTCTGCCATAAGGGGACTTAGAGGGGACCCCATAGCTAACCCTTCTTTTTGTAGATACAAACGGTTATTAAACCGGAAATAGTTTTGTTTCATACAGAGAGAGGTTAAGTTAAGAAGATCATTTGTTTCCCCGGGATGTAGACGACGTTTTTCAAAGAGATCTGCGAGTATACGCAAACAGTCAGGGGATGGGACATTTGTGAAAAGACTATCAACGTCTAAAGATAACAATATGGATTTAGGAGGAATACGAATATCTTTAATTTTGGAAATGAGATCTAAGTCATTTTTTAGGCTGTAAGTGGGGTTGAATCCAGATTTCTCTCGAAGGAGGAAGTTTAATTTTTTAGCAAGGAAATAAGCTGGTGCACCAATATATGAGACAACTGGACGAATAGGAACATGTTCTTTATGTATTTTTGGTAACCCATATAAAATGGGTGCTTGAGGATTCATTGGAACAAGATTGCTCCGAGACAAGTTGTGATCGGGAAAAACATATGATGACTGTTGTATACATAACTTAATATCCGAAGTAAACTTTTTGGTTGGGTCAGACTCCAATAGCTCAAAGTCATCACCTTGGATAACATCGTTAACTTTCTGGCTGTACACACTACTCTCCATAATAACAACAGTATTGCCTTTATCGGCTTTAGTAACAATAAGGTCGTTTTCCCCTATTCTCTGCTTTAGGGACTTAAAAACAGGGAACTCAGGATTGAAATGGGAAGACGCGGGCACAGCCCGGTGCTGGGATTAGTGGTGACGGGGATAGTGCACGCAATTGAGGGAGGGCGGGAGGTGCTTCTTCATACTAGGTAAGACACTTCATTTTTATTTTATAACGCGGATATTTGCGAAGTAAATTTTTGTAAAAACTTTTATATAATGGATTTCCGCAAAGTAACGCCTGATTCTATTAATTATAAAATAGAGATTAGCGCGCTCACAAACAAACAAATACACTTCGATTTCACGTACGTTACGCGGATTGGTGTTACTCGTCACTGCTTGCTCATGCGTCACACACTCTCTTCCGCTCTTCCGACCTCGTCAGGTGTTTCTAGGCACCGTATACAAGATATTAGAGTGAGCAGTATTGCTCGATGAGTGACATTCCCCCTACTTCCCCGAATAATTAAACATAAAGAAATCAGTGTGAGAAAAAATATTTACCTGAATCTGAAGGTTCTAAATAAAATTTGCTAAATCCCAAGACAAATTCCAAATATTTTAACCTAGGTAGAGAAATGTCATCCATATCTTCGGCATAATCGTGGACGTCGGAATTAGTAAGTAGCCATTGCTTAAGATGGCCCTTGTTGAATGCACTAATAGAGTAGACTTGAGCATTGTCATCAATAAATAATCTTGACACTGAAATGAATTACAAAATGTAATTAATATCTAACAAAATGAATTGTAATTTTATCACTTTTAAAGCGTGTACTGTTAAAACAAAATACCTATTTTCAGGTGTGGGACTTCAATAGACTGTACTGAATGAATTATATCTGTGGATGTTGTGTTATTTTGTGTGTAGAAGTAAAAATGAAATGATTTGTTATCTACTAACTACAAACTTTCTACTTGGTGGCTTATTGCAAGTTTAATATGCCTATGCTCATTAGTGGACTTATCGTCATCATCATCATCATTACAGCCCTTCACAAGTCCACTGCTGAACATAGGCCTCCCCCAAGGAATACCACAAAGCACGGTCCTGAGCCACCTGTACTTATCTACTTCCTACATGTCTTACCAGGTCGTCACTTCAACTATAGGAGGCTGCTCCGCACTTCGGCTACCGGTACGAGACTGCCATTTGAGAATCTTTTTTCCCCATGGGGTGTCCGTCCTTCGAGCTATACGGCCGGCCCATTGCCACTTCAGCTTACTAATCCGTTGGGCTATGTCGGTTACTCTGGTTCTACTGCGGATATCCTCCTTTCGAAGCTTATCATGCAGAGAAACCCCGATAGAATAACCCTCTCAATAGCTCGCTGAGCAACCTTGAGCTTACTCATATGGCATAGCAGCAGTGAAGGTGAACCATTCCTCATATCAGTGAAGGACCACGCCTCAGTCATCACTAGCAACACGCACTGGTTGTACAGTCTTGTTTTAAGTTTTCAGGTATACCCGACGAGAAGACTCATCGCAGTCTCCCAAACGCTACCCAGCCGAGTTGAATTCGTCGGTTGACCTGTCGGTCGAAGTTTGACTTATCTAGTCGTACTATTTGTTCCAGGTAAACATACTCGTCAACAACTTTGAGCTTAGTGCTCCCAACAACTACCGACGTAGGTGTGACATGGACGTTACACGTGATCTTTGTTTTACCCACGTTCATCTTAAGACATATCCGTTGGGTAGCACTATAGAAGTCATTGACCATAATGGTTAGGTCCTCCAGCGATTCAACCATAAGGACTATATCATCGGCAAATCGAAGGTGGGTGATGTACTCGCCATTGACGTTAATACCGTATCCTTTCCAGTCCAGAAGCTTGAAAACGTCTTCCAATGTAGCGGTAAAGAGTTTCGGGGATACAACACCATCCTGTCTTACACCTCCCTGCAGTTTGATTGGTTTCGTACTCTGGTTCTGTTCTCGGATAGCTATCGTAACCCTGCTGTGCAAACACTTCAGCACTCCTATATAGCGACAGTCGACTTGGCGCCGCTGAAGGGACTGTAGCCCTGTCTAAAATTCGACGGAATCAAAGGATTTCTCATAGTCCACATACGCAAGACAAAGGGTGACAGATTGTACTACACGCACCCTGAGGACTGACGAGAAAATCCTGGAGTTGGAAGAAGAGACAGACAAGTTGCGCTGGAATATCATAGGATTATCCGAGGTCCGAAGAGAGGGGGAGGACACGATAATCCTCGAATCCGGCAACTTGTTCTATCACCGGAAGGGCGACCATCTGTCCCCAAGGGGTGTCGGATTTATCGTCCACAAGTCTCTCGTTAACAATGTTGTGAAGATTGGGAGTGTGTCGACGAGGATTACGTACTTTATACTCAGAATGACCAAACGGTATTCGCTGAAAGTCATACAGGCTTACGACTACAACTTCGGCACACCCCGATAAGGAGGTAGAGGAAATGTATGAGTATATCTCTAGAGCCATGCATTCCTACAAAACCCACTATACGGTGTTAATGGGAGACTTCAACGCAAAACTAGGTACAAGAAAAAACAGTGAGCTGAAAGTAGGGAAATTCGGAATAGGGCAACGGAACCCAAGGGGCCAGCAGCTGGCCGACTTCATGGAGAAAGAGGGACTCTTTATGATGAACTCTTTCTTCCAAAAGCGGCCCCACAGGAAGTGGACCTGGTCGAGCCCCGACGGTTCGACAAAAAATGAGATTGACTTCGTTATGACGACCAGACGACAACTGTTCAGTGATGTCTCCGTGATCGCGAGGGTGAAAACTGGTAGCGATCACCGAATGGTTAGAGGCACACTGAACCTAAACGTTAAGTTGGAGAGGTCTCGTCTAATGAAGTCAACGCTCCGTCCTGCTCGTGCTCTGTTCCATAGTCCCGAAACCTTTCATCTCGAGTTACAAAACCGTTTTCAGTGCCTAAAAGACTGCAATGAAGTGGACGATATGAATGACAAGGTCGTGGAAACTGTCCATGCGGTCGGAGCTAAGTTCTGCAAGACCCGCCGCAGAAGAACACAATAACTCTCCGATCGCACTCTTAATCTCATGGCTGTTAGACGGGAGATGAAGCTACATTTTTCAACAGATTTGACAGCATACAGGCAACTGAACAGACAGAACTCCAAATGAATGCGGCGGGACTTGCGCTACTTCAATACAGCTTTTATCGAGCGGAACCAAGGCTCCAAAGTCTTTGCCAGAAAGAGCCAAATGTCAAAGCTGAAGACCAAGTGTGGCAGCATCGTTTCCGAGAGACCAGAGATTTTGAGTGAGATTAAGAGGTTCTATGGGCAGCTGTACACGTCATCGTTGGAGCCACACGCAAGTGTGAGTAACGATCCAAGAGCGATTCTTATTCGACACTATTCCGAAGATATCCCGGACGTCAGTCTGAGAGAGATTAGAATGGCTCTCCACCACCTTAAAAACAGTAAGTCCCCGGGCGAGGATGGAATTACAGCGGAGCTTTTGAAAGCGGGTGGAAAACCGGTACTTGAAGTCCTTCAGAAGCTCTTTAATTCCGTCCTACATGGTGGCACTACTCCGGAGGCGTGGAGCAGAAGTGCGGTGGTCTTGTTCTTCAAGAAAGACGACAACGCTCTCTTGAAGAACTACAGACCGATTTCCCTTCTGAGCCGCGTCTACGTGCTGTTTTCGAGAGTCATTACGAATCGTCTCGCGCGCAGACTTGACGACTTCCAGCCTCCCGAACAAGCCGGTTTCCGAAAAGGCTTTAGCACCATAGACCACATATATACCCTTCTGCAAATTGTACAGAAGTCCGAGGATTACAATTTGCCACTATGTCTGGCGTATGTAGACTATGAGAAAGTCTTTGATTCCGTCGAAATTTGGGCGGTGCTGCAGTCCCTTGAGCGGTGCCAAGTTGACTGTCGGTATATCGAAGTGCTGAAGTGCTTGTACAGTAGGGCTACGATGGCTATCCGAGTACAGAACTAGAGTACGAAACCTATCCAATTGCAGAGAGGTGTAAGACAGCGTGACGTTATATCCCCGAAACTTCACCGCTGCATTGGAAGACGTTTTCAAGCTTCTGGACTGGAAAGGATACGGTATTACCATCAATGGCGAGTACATCACTCACTTTCGATTTGCCGACGATATAGTCCTTATGGCAGAATTGCTGGAGGACCTAAGCACTATGCTCAATGACCTCAATAGTGTCTCCCAACGGATAGGTCTTAAGATGAACATGGACAAAACAAAGATCATGTTTAATGCTATGCTCAGAGTTTCTCTGCGTGATAAACTTAGAAATGAGGATATCCGCAGTAGAACCAGAGTGATCGACATAGCCCAACGGATTAGTAAGCTGAAGTGGCAATGGGCCGGCCATATAGCTCGAAGAACCGACCACCGATGGGGAAAAAAGGTTCTCGAGTGGCGGCCTCGTATCGGCGGACGAAGTGTAGGGCGTCCCCCCATTAGATGGAGTGACGACCTGGTAAGATGTGCAAGAAGTCGATGGATGCAGGTGGATCAGGAATAACGAATAATCAATAATATGCAGTAATTTTAATTCAAAGCAAAAACGCTTGTTTTGTTCCTTTTATGAAATCGTTACTCTTCATTAGGGCCCCTCAACAAATTTTGATACAGGGCCCATCTAAGACACGCTACGCCACTGGTACTAACCAATGCCATACTAATCAACTAATAAAAGTAATGATATTAAGAGTGTGATCGGAGAGTTTTTATGCTCTTCTGCAACGGTTCTTGCAGAAATTAGCTCTGATCGCAGGAAAATCAATTATTGTTCAAAATTAAATATATCTCCTGTAGGATAGATACTATGAAAAGCGCAATACATATTATAGGAGCAAATAATTTATAGTCTAAATATCGAAACAAAAATTACAAGTAGTCATTTTGTATTAACCAATGTCATTCAAGCAACTTTTGGGTAACCGTTTTGTCTAGCATCCTCCTCCATCTTTTATATTCTGTAAGACGTAGGTCTTACAGAATATAAAAGATGGAGGAGGATGAAGAAAAGAGACAAAATGTTTCATCATCGTTAAGCATAGAGCAATACGGGGCATCGGTGGATCGGAGAGGAGTAGCCATACGCAGGCATTCCCCTCTGTCAAAGTATAAGTCCACGCGGTCCTATAAGTACGATACAGTATGGTAGGGCAGACAAGACTACGTGGAGTTGGGGCGCGCTGTTTCGGTTTTAGTATTCGATTTTTGAGTATCGATATCTGGGAAACTAAAGGAGATACCGAAAAATTGTTTTCTTACTTTCGGCGTTTCTCATCGAGATCTATGCGAATCCGCCTTCAAATCGTGGCGCCGCAGAAATTGTAGAAGCCCAACGATAATAAATTCATAGTTAAGTAAGAGGAAAACTCATAACTTTAAGAATATTTAACAACTTACATCGATATTCTTCATCTTGCCATCCATACAGCCGGTTTGTGTATACGTAATGGGAAACTATATTTTCACATTTTCTTATTATATCCAAAATCATCTCGCAATAATGTCTAACTATGCGTGTTTTGTAGTCTTTCAGTGTCCTTTTTAGAAGTACTGAACAATATATATACATACAACACTTTATAATAATAATAAAATAAAATAAAATAGTTTATTAAATTTAAAATTGAAACCTTAAATGCGGATCCAAATCTTACAGACTGGTAATGGTGAGTCAGTTTCGTGTGTTTAGTATAAGCAACTCTTGATCTTTGCAAGGCATCATCATCATCATTACAGCCGTTCATAAGTCCACTGCTTAACATAGGACTCCCCCAAGGAATACCACAAAACACGATCCTGAGCCACCTGCATCCATCGACTTCCTGTATATCGTACCAGGTTCTCACTCTATCTAGTGGGGGATCGCCCTACACTTCGCCTACCGGTACGAGGCTGCCACTCGAAAACCTTTTAGTCATAAGTCCAGTTAAATGTTATAAAACCACCATTTTTGGAGCATACTTTTTACGTGGTAGAGTCATGCTGAAGCTATATTATGGTTGTGTCACGAATGGGTCGGCTCGAACGGGGAAGCTAATAATTAATGCTCCTGTGTTTCGTATGGTAAATGTAGAGAAACCGGAGACCTTTTTTACTGAATACCAGACATTCCATCTTAGTCCTCGGGGTGACAACGCATCTGCAATTTGAATCTTCATCATCATCATCATTACAGCCCTTCACAAGTCCACTGCTGAACATAGGCCTCCCCCAAAGAATGCCACAAAGCACGGTCCTGAGCCACCTGCATCCATCGACTTCCTGCATGTCTTACCAGGTCGTCACTCCATCTCGTGGGGGGACGCCCTACACTTCGCCTACCGGTACGAGGCCGCCACTCGAGAACCTTTCTTCCCCATCGGTTGTCGGTTCTTCGAGCTATATGGCCGGCCCACTGCCACTTCAGCTTACTAATCCGTTGGGCTATGTCGGTTACTCTGGTTCTACTGCGGATATCCTCATTCCTAAGTTTATCACGCAGAGAAACTCCGAGCATAGCCCTCTCCATAGCTCGCTGAGCGACCTTGAGCTTTCTCATCCGGCCAGCAGTGAAGGACCACGTCTCAGTTCCGTAAGTCATCACTGGCAACACGCACTGGTTGTACAATTTCGTTTTAAGGTTTTGAGGTATGTCTGACGAGAAGATGTGTCTTAGCTTTCCGAACGCTGCCCAGCCGAGTTGGATCCGTCGATTGACCTCTCGGTCGAAGTTGGACTTACCTAGTCGGACTATTTGTCCCAGGTAAACATACTCGTCAACAACTTCGAGCTTAGTGTTCCCAACAACTACCGGCATAGGTGTGACATGGACATTAAACATGATCTTTGTTTTGTCCATGTTCATCTTAAGACCTATCCGTTGGGAAACACTATTGAGGTCATTGAGCATAGTGCTTAGGTCCTCCAGCGATTCTGCCATAAGGACTATATCGTCGGCAAATCGAAGGTGAGTGATGTACTCGCCATTGATGTTGATACCGTATCCTTTCCAGTCCAGAAGCTTGAAAACGTCTTCCAATGCAGCGGTGAAGAGTTTCGGGGATATGACGTCACCCTGTCTTACACCTCTCTGCAATTGGATAGGTTTCGTACTCTGGTTCTGTACTCGGATAGCCATCGTAGCCCTACTGTACAAGCACTTCAACACTTCGATATACCGACAGTCAACTTGGCACCGCTGAAGGGACTGCAGCACCGCCCAAATTTCGACGGAATCAAATTCTTTCTCATAGTCCACATACGCCAGACATAGTGGCAAATTGTACTCTTCGGACTTCTGTACAACTTGCCGAAGGATATGTATGTGGTCTATGGTGCTAAAGCCCTTTCGGAAACCGGCTTGTTCGGGAGGCTGGAAGTCGTCAAGTCTGCGCGCGAGACGATTTGAATCTTAATCGAGGGTAAATGTAGATATCTATGGGCCGCAGTACCCACTTACACGTGGACTGTGTGGTCGTTTGTCACATACATTCTATAAAAAAATATTACCTATCTTTTAATATGTACGTGCAACCTATGGGTCAGATATACGTACTGGGTTTTTCAACAAGAACTTTGTTTTTCAATAGGGGCAACACCAAAAACATGACAGTTTTGACATTTAGTTTTTTGACCTATTCGTAGTGGATGCTTTGGCAATTGCTACAATGAATTCAATTTCGCTCGAAAGTTGAATTAAAATAATTAAAATCCACTATGAAAATGGTGGTTCTGTGAAAGTTACGTTTCGTAAAATTCGTGATATTTTCGGACAACATAATCGTCCTTCTGAGACCGCTATTTAGAATTTGGTCGCTAAATTTGAATCGACAGGCTCGGTACAAAATGCGCCAACACCAACGCGTGTTCGACCGGGTCGTTCAACCGAAAACATCGCAGCCGTGAGCCACAGTGTTGAAGAAGATCCAAATTTGTCAATTCCTCGACGTTCTCAACAATTGGGGTTATCCAAAACCACCACATGGCGAATTTTGCGTAAGGATTTGGCTTTGAAGCCTTACAAGGTTCAACTGGTGCAGGAATTGAAGCTGACCGACCATTCACATCGCCGTAGATTCGCTCAATTCATTCAGGAACAGCCCGCTGGTTTTTCTGAAAAGATCATTTTTTCAGACGAAGCCCATTTTCACTAGTCAGAGTACGTCAACAAGCAAAATTGCCGCATTTGGGCTTCTGAAAATCCTAAAGCGATTATTGAGAAGCCTTTGCATGCTCAACGTGTCACTGTATGGTGCGCTATGTGGTCTGGAGGCGTGATTGGGCCGTTTTTTTCGAAGTTGAGGCTGGAAATGCGGTAACGGTCAATGGATCACGCTATCGCGAGATGTTAACATCTCAATTTTGGCATATTATTGATGACATCGATATCACAAGCATGTGGTTTCAACAGGACAGTGCCACATGTCACACAGCCAACGAAACGATCAATTTATTGCAAACCAAATTTCCCGATCGCATAATTTCACGAAATTCAAGTGTTAAATGGCCAGCCAGATCGTGTGATTTAACACCACTGGATTATTTTTTGTGGGGCTATGTTAAGGACAGAGTCTATACGGAGCCAATCGAATCGATCGCGGCCTTAAAACTCAAAATCCGTGACGTGATTAACGAAATAGACCCGCCATTTTGCCAAAAAGTGATTAAAAACTTTGATGAAAGAACCGACATCTGTCAGCGTGGTCGTGGTGGACATTTGCCATACATAGAAGTATTAGGCATTGTGTAATTAGTCTAAGTTGCCAGATTTCATTTTTCATTAATAATTGCCAAACTTTTCTCTTCGTAATACAATAAAAATTTGAATCATCTTCATCTAAACTCTTTGTTTTATTTTGTTTTAGAAAACAAAGTTCTTGTTGAACAACCCATTAGAAGACAATAAAGAACCCCGCAAATTCAATATAGTTCCGAGTTCTGATAGGGCTGCCGCGCATTTTCAGTTCGTTCAAATGTTAACGTCATAAAAGTTTGTCTGCAAAGGGCATATATTTTTGGATTTTTTGCTGTACGTGTGTTGATTTTAGGTTATGAATAAGGTACGTGAGGGTAATATGGTCACCTTAAGTTTTGCCACCCTATAAAACCAAAACTAGATGAAGGACGGAGACATAAACACAAAGTCGTATACAATAATTAATTTATTAAGAAAAAATAGCATAAAAGATTAGGCGATAATTAGGAACACTTTGAAAAATCAACTTAAAAAAACTGTTAATGACCATTTAATTTACTATAATGACAACAGTTAAAATGGCGTAGATAAAGCAGTGCCCTTTTGACCTTTTATCATTTGATTAATTGATTCAGAGATCACAGAGCCATCTATGCAAACAAAGCTGTAATTTTTGAGTTACGTATAATAAAGTGAGCATATTAACTTACGCGACCACCGTATTTTCTCTTTTTAATATTATTGAAATAAAAACAATATCGGATTTTAGTGCCAATACCGAAAAACAGAGTGTATTTCGGCTGTCGTGTCACAAAAAACTGAAAATTCAAAAAACCCCCGAAACAAAAACAGCAGATGACCTTGAAACGGCTGTACAGATTTTGATAAAACATGTCTGAGAAAGAAAGAACCACGGCTAGAAAACCTGCTTTTAAATAAAAAAAAACCGACTCAAATTAGTTCACCCGTTTAAGAGCTACGGTGCCACAGACAGACTCACAGACAGACAGACACATATAGCGGTCAAACTTATAACATCCAGTGAGGTTTTTAATATCCTTAACTTACAATAAAATGGGCAACTATATGAGATTTGCTCAGCGATTGTAAAAAAATATTATTCTCTCAAGGGTGGCACTTACCTAATTAAACTTGGAAATTTTTTTTATAGGAGAGGGGGCAAACGAGCATGCGGCTCACCTGATGGTAAGTGACTACCGCCGCCCATGAACAACTGCAACACAAAGGGAATCGCAGATGCGTTGCCGGCCTTTTGAAAAGGAGTAGGCTCTTTTCTTGAAGGTCCCTAAGTCGTATCGGTCCGGAAAAATCGCTGGCGGTAATCGATTCCACAAGGACTTTGTGCGAGGGAGAAAACTTCTTCTAAATCGCACAGTGGTGGACCGCCAATCATCCAGATGATATGAATGGTATCGCGAGTTTTGTCGCGATGTGCGATGGTGAAATTGAGCGGCTGGAATTAGTCCGAACAATTCCTCAGAGCACTCCCTGTGGTAGATGCGATAAAATACGCAAAGATATGCAACATCTCTACGCAGTGCCAGTGAGTCAAGCCGATTGGAAAGAACTCGGTCGTCGACGATTCGAACCGCTCTGCGCTGGATGCGGTCAAGTGGAAGGAGCTGGCACTGGGGAGCCCCTGCCCAGAGATGAGAACAGTATTCCATGTGAGGCCGAACCTGCGCCTTGTAAAGTTGCAAGCGGTGTGCCCGCATGAAATACTGTTCCGTTCTGCTGAGCACGCCAAGCTTTTCAGAGGCTAATTTGGTCTTCTCTTCCAAGTGACCACGAAACTGCACGTCACTCGATATTATGTCGATACCGATACTGGCTGAGGCAGCAAGGGGAGAGCCTTGAAACTGAGGAGATATGACAAAGGGATTCTTTTTAGCGGTAAATAATAGATAGATACATTATCTAAATAGAAAATTCTATCAAAATCGTTAGAGCAGTTTTCGAGACCAAGTTTATTTAGATATATTTTATTATGTATTTTTCCTTTTTTATTTTAATTATTTAAAGAAAAAGTAATAACTAGATTTGGTTAAAAAGTAGGCTAAAAAATAAACAAACATTTTATTAGTCTAAAAAAAATATTTAACCTAGCTAAAAATAAAAAATCTGACCTCATTGCAGAAATTGAACTCGCACACTCCGGTGTGGTAGACCTACGCTCTAGCTATTAAAAATATATGATCTCTGTAGCGAAATTTAACGCTGACAAGCAAGTTTTTTGTTATGTATGCGAAAATAGGGAACAATTCAAGAATATTGTAAATTTCATCGAAATCGTTATAGAGTCATTTTCGAAGACACAAGTACGAACAAACAAATACATAAATATTGCTCATTGATAGTATAGGATTATGTATTTAGCATACCTTTCGTATAAAATGCTCCCAATGCTATATTACAATCAGTTGAATTTGGAAATCGATTAAAGTAACTAACGGTACGATTTAAATTCTCTAAATATTTAACTAAATCAGACACATTTGGAAGTGTTATTTCTGGTGCCAAATATTGATGTGGAAACTTAAAGCCATCATATTTATTTTTTGAATCAATTGTAGTATCGTTAAGATAATGGTTCATCACATCACTCCGTATTGTATTTATAAACAAAAATAGTAATATTCCTGATAGTTTCATGTTTCCAGTATTAAGATATCTGGCCGACGATTACTAACCATGAATAATCAATGATAAATGGTACACGATTGGATGAAATTACGTTGCCTTATAATTTTTCATTATATTGATAACACCACATTAGACGTGCGTGAATAAGCAGTGAGTGAATGATCGTGTAGTCGCGGTATGAGAATATCTACTAATCCATATCGTCCCGTGGGTGTCGTAAGTGGCAACTTATGGATACATACCAGGAGATGGGCAGCAGCGTCTTCCTAGTAACAAATAGAAATTAAAAAGTTGCGATTGCAATTTGCGATAGAAAAGTTGAAGATATAACTCTTTATAATAAACTCTATCTTCAAGAAATTGAACAATAATGCTTTGAAGTGGATTATGAAACGTTAAATTAGTGCATTTTCTATATTAAATATCTGCCAATGGAAACTTTTAGTGGAAAGGATATAACAAGTGATTTGATGGTGATATAACTCTCAAAATTTATTCCACTAAGGCCTAAGGCTCTTTCATGATCTATCGTTATTAACAGTTATCATAGGGATAAGCTGTCGTTAACATTTTTACTTAAAACTTCGCAATGCGCAATAGCATATTTAATAAGAACAAAATACACATCAGATAAGGTTGTATGGTCTAAAGTCTTTGCTCGCCTTATTTGTCAAATCGTAAAAATAACAATTCCAAAGGAGTGTTGACATATATATGACTTTGTCCGTATTTATACGGAGATTTTAAAATGAATTTAGGGTATAGACAGACTCCATACTCTTTATTATCGTATGCAGAGAACATTTCGAATCCATGATTGTTAATTATAACCATCACTTTTAATTCTTAAAATACGGATATTTTTTTTATTTCATGAAAAACCTATAGTAGTACATTTAATGAATACAGCTACGAAAATTGACTTTTATAATCGATCAACCCCGGCAAAACTACTAGCAGGTTCTATGTTAAACTAGCTTTTCCACGCGACTTCGCCCGCGTGTAATTTAGGTTTTTAATGTTTTTGCGTGGAACCCTAATTATTTTTCTCAAATAAAAGTAGCCTAAGTAACTATCAGCTCTCTGCCAGTGAAAGTTCCATAAAAATTGGTCCAGCAGTTTCAGAGATTTCCCGGAACAAACACACTGACAGACAGACAGACCAAAATTTAAAAAATTCTATTTTTATTATAAGTATCGTATATACTAACTTTATATATGCATTTAGTGAAACGCTGTTATTTTAAGAATACAAACAGACTCTCCAATTTTATTTATTTAATAAGACAAGAAAAAAACAAAGCAATTAAATCAATCTTCCATAATCTAATTCAATGACATTCTACGAGAAAAGTTTTCTTATAGTTTACTCACGTAAGACAAAGTGGCTGATTGTACTGTCCATCTGCACAATTTGCCGCAAGGTATGTGTGTAGTACATGGTACTAAAGAATTGAAGAAACTGGCTTGTTTAGAATTTCTTCGAAATCGTTAAAGCCGTTTACGACAATGTAATTGCAAACAAAAAAACAAATATATATAATGCTCGTTTATTATTATATGATGCATTTTTGCAAATGGTATATGGCAATTCTGTTGAAATGTCAATTCAATTGTCAAACAAATAGTCGCTGAGTCGGTGATGATAATATTTTTAGTTTTTTATATAAGGTTATTTAATTAGTGCTATATATAGTACATAGTAGTCTAGTGCAATTTATTCCAGTTTTTAAGTAGCTTGTTTATTTATAAAATGGAAATATCTTTTAAGGGAAAGCGAATTCTTGTAACCGGCGCTGGACAAGGTTAATTCTATTTTACTCGTTATTACATACCTATTGTGAATGTCAACAAAACCGTGTTGCACACTTAATGCTTTAGGATTAACAAACCTGACATTGTTTTTACACGATTATAAATATTTTTTTTTTGTAAATATGGTTTTTCAGGAGTCGGCAGGGGTATTGCTATTGAACTTTGGCGAGCCGGTGCAAATATAGTAGCGTTATCAAAAACTAGGATCCATTTAGAAACGTTACAAAGTGAATATCCATCTATTGACATTGTTGATGTCGACTTAGCAGATTGGGAAAAAACTCGAGCTGTGGTTGAATCATTAGGACATTTTGACGCATTAGTAAATAATGCTGCAATCGCAATTTGCGAACCATTCCTCAGTTGTTCACCCGGAGACTTTGACAAGTAAGTTGTAAATGAAAATGTATTTTCTACTTAAAAGTGAATAAAATAGTAATACTTACCTTATTAAATAATAATTTTTCAGCCTTTGTTTAGACAAATTTTTCTATTATAAATAAATACATGATACCCTTTCAGGACTTTTGACGTCAATGTAAAGGCTGTATTAAATATTAGTCAAGTAGTTGCAAGAAAAATGGTAGAAAACAAAACGCATGGTACCATTGTAAATATTTCCTCTCAAGCTTCAAAGGTGAGATTATAATAAGCTTGTAGTAATGTATTATAAAATATCTAAGTTATAGAACATTTACATATTGAGTGCCACAGGTTAAGTATTATTTAATATTTAAACTTCATGTTCTAATTCATAACCAGTGCAACGTTCCACACCGCGTCACTGATTCTCACCCCACCTGACCGCACATTAAAATGTCACTTTTTTTACGACCGCATGAGACTGTCTCAACAAAAATGATTACTACTGAAAAACTGCTATACCTACATTCTTCAAACTTAAATATGGGAATATCAAAAAATTTTGTAAGTATTTATTTTTTATTTCGAGTTTTACAAGAAAAGTATAATATTTACTGGAGACAATTACTATATATTGTAATAGTACATGATATTCCCCTTAAAATGATACCAATATCAATATGTTATATACTGAATATAGATAAATATTAAATATATAATATTTACTCAATATAAATTTTAATAAATAAATAAATAAAAATAAGATTTAATAATTTGTAGACACATCTCAACAGATATTTTGTTCATAAATGGCTATCAACATGTTAGTAGTGAAGCATTCTTTTATATTTAGCATTCATTTAACACAAAAAACTGATTAGAATACATTTTAAACAACATATAATCAATAAATGCTGATTGCATAAGTATAGTGATTAAAATTTTTAGCTAAATTATTATATGTAAACGTTTTTGGATTGTCGTAATGATATATATTTCCTAAACAAAATATCTTCACAATTAATTTGATGTACAATAACATTAGAAATAACTTATAAAAACAGAAAACTTATAACATTTATCACAAACAAAAATGGCAAAATGTCATTTTCACATATTTTTTTCTATATTTTGTTACTATTACACAGATACAATTCATTCTCACGGATGACAAATTTCAAATAGCATCATCTCTAATAACAGCTATCTTTTGTGCTGTACACCTTTAAACCAAAAGATATTGTTTGGTGACTATAGTCATCATGGATAGGTGAGGCAATAATGTTTTTGGGGACTGTTGTCACCGTGGACGGTTGAGTAGATAATAGACTTAAATGACATTTCATCTGCTGCTACTTGTTGTAAAATAGTAACAGTTTAAAATATTTTACCAAAACGTTTTTCCTTATTAGGTGAGGTAAAGGAAAAAAATAAGCAAAAGGTTAATAAAATGGCATCTATCATAGTATAGTTAAACATCTGTTTTTGGTAGAGTTGGATTTTATTATTGTTAAATATTTAATGTTAAATAATAACAATTACAGTTTATTTTGATTAATTAAATGTAACAAGTTATAGATTAAAGCACCAACTTTTTTAAATAATATATTTGTCAATGGTATTATATACATTGCATTTTTTTAAACCAATTTGTTTGTCAAGAGAATTAAAAGTTTTGAACCTGTTTTTAAGCAATAGAAAATGGTTAATATCAACATCAGCGTTGCAATATCCACTGCAAATAGACACCTACATCTATCCTCAATCAAGAATCAAAATATGGGTGCATTGTCACCCCTGAGCAATCTTTTATTTGGGACAGCAAAAATTTGTATGATTTATAATATTAACAGCTTGTTTTGAGTAATTGTATGTTTTTAGTTTAGTTTACGACGAGCTATTTTCCGCAACTCCACGTCTATGCGCATATTTTGCGTGTGGGCAGGAATAATGTGATTATTCGAGCCATGAGATCTCCCCGAAGAAGCTCAACAGTCCTTTGATGTTGCATTCAACTTCGTGGAGTGATCTCGGCGTGCCGAGATGTTGAGCCCTGTATGTAGCGACCTCCGGACATTTCAGTAGCACGTGGGCCGCCGTTTCATCCTCCCCCATACATGCCCTGCACAGGGGACTATCTGTAACACATATAGTAAATAAATGTGTGTTAAAGGTGCAATGTCCTTTGATATCACTTGTTACTATTCTGATCTGCGGCTTGTTCAGTCTCTTTAAAACTTTGGTTAAGCGACTGTTTATTTCAGGCAGGGCCTCCCTAGCTTGTCTGCAGTCTACTAGATTATTCCAAAGCTGAGCATGTTGATTAGTGAAGTGTCTACGTACCAGTGAACGGACGTTACCAAAGGGGATTGGTATGATTGGTTCCGGCCCTATAGTGGCCAGAGCCGATCCTCTTTTGGCCATTTCGTTTGCTACATCGTTGCCTCTGGATACACTGTGTCCCTTTATCCATTGCAGAGTAACATTGTTGTTTTTACATACCTCATTTAATCGTTGATGGCATTCATATATTAGTCCTGAGTTCACCACATTCCAACTCAGAGCTTGTAGCACCGCCCTACTGTCGGTCAGTATTCTGATGAGGAGGTCATTAACCTTTCTAGCATCTATTGCTATGACCGCTTGAATGATACCCATACATTCCGCCTGAAAGACTGTGTTATAGGTACCCAGCGGTGTGCATATGTGGATATTGAGGTCTTCAGAGAAAGTTCCAGAACCTACACCTTTGTTTTAGAACCATCGGTGAAAACTAACCTCTTTTGGGCTTAATCCTTCCGGCTGGCTGGTTTCATTTAATTGTATTTTGTACTTCTTATCGAAAACAAATTGTTTAGGAATCTTACCGTACTTAGCTTGTAGGATAGGAATTTTTGAGTGAATTCTATCAGTTATGCCTGTATGAGGGACACTATTCTTACTCCAAAGATTTAGGGTCTTGAGTCTGATGGCAGCTAAAGTCGCTTCTTGTTGTATATGTAGATGAAGCGAGGTTAGCTCCAACATCACTTCTAAGGCTGCTGTTGGCGTAGTTCTTATGCAGCCTGTGGCAGCCATACATGCCAGTCTCTGGTAGCGCTGAAGCTTCTTTATAGTGGTGGCTTCATTTGTCTTGGTCCACCATACCAGAGCGCCGTATGTGATCATGGGCCGAATTACAGTTTGTAAAGCCACATTATGATTTTTGGCATCAGTCCCCATCTTTTGCCAATCATGTTTCTGCATTGCCAGAAAGTTATACTAGCTTTGTTGATTTTGTTTTCTATGTGTTTATTCCAGTTAAGTTTGCTGTCCAAGGTAAGACCTAAACCTTTACACATGGTAGAGCCATGCTGCAGCTATATTAGTAGTATAGTTGTAGCACGAATGGGTCGGCTCGACCGGGGAAGGACCACGCTCTCACAGAAAACCAGCGTAAAATAGCAGCTTAATGCTGCTGTGTTTTTCTTATGGTGAGTGTAGAGAACCAGAGACCCATTTTACTGGAAAAGAGGCATTCCATCTTAGTCCTCACGGGTGACGACGCATCTGCATTTTGATTCTTTATTGAGGATATCTGTGGATGTCTATGGGTCACAGCAACCACTTACCATCAGGTGAACTGTGTGCTCGTTTGTCACCCTATCCTATAAAAAAATATATATATTTTACCTCAGAGGATAGCTGGAGTTTTGTGCTGAAAAGACTTGGAAGATGATAGTTATTCAGCATTCGTTTTTGTGTGAACATAACTAGAACCGTTTTATTTGGATTGAAGGTTAAGTCGTATTCCCTGCACCATCTCTCAACTATACGGAGAGCCGCTTGGGTCTGGTCACACACTATGCTTGCTGTCTTTCCAGACACCAATATTGTCATCAGCAAACCTACTGTGTAGAAGTGATTGGCATTTAATTTACTGATGAGTTCATTGATGACCATATTCCACAGGAAAGGTGAGAGAACCCCACCCTGTGGGCAGCCTTTCTTAATTTGGATTTTTTTTTATAGGATAGAGTGACAAACGAGCACACAGTCCACCTGGTGGTAAGTGGTTGCTGTGGCCCATAGACATCTACATCTATCCTCGTTAGCGAATCAAAATGCAGATGCGTTGTCAGCGGTGAGGACTAAGATGGAATGCCTCTTTTCCAGTAAAAAGGGTCTCCGGTTCTCTACACTCACCATACGAAACACAGCAGTATTAAGCTGCTATTTTACGCTGGTATTCTGTGAGAGCGTGGTCCTTCCCCGGTCGAGCCAACCCATTCGTGCTACAACTATACTACTAATATAGCTGCAGCATGGCTCTACCACGTAAAATTCACGTTAAAATTTCTTAATTTGGATTGGTTGAGATTCACCAGCAATCTTTATTATTCTTGTACTGAGCATGTATACTATCCAGTCAATCAGTGCCGGTTCAACTTTATGTCTACTGAGTGCACCTTTTATGCTGGAGAAGTTCGTTCTGTCAAAAGCACCTTCTATATCTATGAAGGAACCTAGACATATTTCTTTGTTTTGGATGACCTCTTCAATCTTTGTAATTACCTGGTGAAGTGCCGATTCTGTTGATTTTCTGTTGAGTTGAGACTGTAGGCGTGTTGCTTGTCGTTTAGTGGTAAGTTCCAGTGTTTTAGTGGTAAGCGCCGACCCCCTTAATTCCCTTTCACACATCCTCTCCATCGTCTTTAGGAGAAAGGATGTGAGGCTAATGGGCCTGTAGGATTTAGGTTCAGTGTAGTTGCTCTTACCTGGTTTGGGTATGAATGTGACTTTCACTTCCCTCCATCCCCTAGGAACATATTTAAGAGCCAGACAGGCTCTCATTATGGCAACAAGTCTAACTATTAGGGCTTCCCCCCCCCCCCCCGCACTGTAGGAGTGCCGGGAATATGCCGTCAGGTCCTGCCGCCTTATAGGGGAGGAAACTGTGAATGGCCCAATGGATTTTGTCCATCGTTACCACTCTGTGCTAAATTCCAGTCTTCTGCTGTTGGTGTCAGTATGTCGTCATGCCGGTTTGCCTCCTGAGTTACGCAACAACCTGGGAAGTGCGTTTCAATTAGGATGCGCTGGGCTTCATCCGGCGATGTTGAGTAGCTACCGTCGGGTTTCTTTGGAGAGATGGATCCCGACGTGTTCTGTTTTGCTAGAATATTCCTTATCCTATTTGCTTGTTCGCAGGTTTCTATGTTGCCACAGATTTTACGCCACCCTGTCGAGCTTGATACATTTTTTGTATTCAGACTTAGCTTTCTTGTATAGTAG